TACGTTGGAGACGGGTCTGCTGGATATCTCCAGTATTTTATCTGCTGAAGCTGCCAGGTCGTCGAGTGGGACTGACTGGAGTGTCACCAACACGGTTTGCACCGGTTGTGGTAGTTTCGAGAGAAATAGTTCTCGGAAGAAACCATCGTCAAATGTTCGTGCACCGATTACTTCTCGCATGCGTGCGAGGACTTCAGTAGCTGAGTGGCTGCCTAGCTCGATGTTACGAAGCAATTCGTCTAGACGTTGGCGATCTGTGAGATCGCTTTTCTTCAAGAGTGCAGCCTTTAGAAGTGCATAAGGGTCACTTACTTCAGGATTAAACATGTTTGCTGTAACAAACCTGTTTAATTCTCGCGGTAGTGAACGTATGACAGCAAGAAATCGAGATGAGGATCTGAGACACCCTGTTCTCGAAAATCGGCCTCGGCATACAGAAACCATGTTTCTGCATTGTCTGGCCAATATGGCACGAGTTGGATCGTGTTCGAGGTCGGCTTAATACGAATAAGCTTGGGAGTGTGGTCGGACATGAGAAAGTGTAGTAAATGGATATATAAATGTTATCGAAATGAAAACAATAAACAAATATAAAATGGAACAGGCTCACCAATTCAATACTTGCTATTGTCGGGATATGTCGGGATATTTGATCACGTCGGGCTCACCAATTTAGGATTTGTCCTGGTGCGAACTTGACAGACGCAAAGACCAATCACTAATTATTCGAACTTGTTATATACCCACGAATACGAGACCAAGGAAGAACACGATAGCGTAGTCGGATGGAATAGTATATTTGGATGGTTATGCCAAAATACCGATGCGTTCCAACTAACTGGCTAGAGAGTCGAATACGAGCAATGCAACGTAACACGACAGCGTGCCAAATGGCGAGGATGCTTGACCGGGTGCCTTCAGCTTAGCGAGTCCAGTTAAACTATCAAGGTCAGCATCAATGTCGAAGTCGTCAAACCCTAGGCTATTGATTTTGGGGAAGTGTATGACGCTACAGATCACTCCCCCCCTAGTGGGTTCGTGAGGACCCTAAGACGATACCAGCCGGAAGTAAAAACCCAGTGGTTTCTCCACTGGTAAAACTCTCCCGATGGGCTCACTGCGTGAGGTGGCCCCTGGTTGTCTGAACCTTATTCTAAAGTGTCGTGGCGATTAAATAAATAAAATACAATAAATGAAATTGTACGTCGGTCGCGGTCATCTGTTCCTTTCGACGTTCCGTCCAGTGCTCGTTGCACCTGGAATATAAATAAAAGTCTTTAATACCACGAAAACGTTGCGTAAAAATGGGAATTATTTATATATAAACGTGTCGAAAAAGAAAAATTTACGCTTATCTTCGCCGTTTTTTTAGTTTTTATTACATGGTAAATAAAAATTGATATAAAAAGGCAAAGTGTACGAGGGTTTGTGCCGGTAAATAAGAAAAATAGTGCCTCGAAAAAAATGGTTGGCACACACACAGCTAAGTTGAATATGACTTCAGGTACTCTGGGAAGGTAGTAGAGCTGTTAAGCAGTCAACTCGATGAACAGCTCAATGTAGTACTGCATCTACTACCAACATCCAGTAATGTAACGAAGTTCCAGGACTGTGACACAGATCAAACGAACGTAACGATTTCGTCAAACCAAGTGTTTACAAAGCTCTCAACACCCAGAATGAGGAAATCTCCGAGATGGGACGATGTGATGCCATCGCTCCCACGGAATCGTACGTATCGCTAAGCATACCCATATGTGATCTACTCACATAACCGTTGGAAATAAGTCAACTCCCCAAAGAATAGAGGCGCGCTATCCTCTTAGTAATCTTCAAGGTAGGAGGCCAAAGGAACCCACACATTTACGGACCGACAAAGCTACTTCCCACACTGCCCAAGGTGCGTGGGGGCCTGGTTGCAGATGTTGTCCTTGACTACCTTGACGGGAACAACATCGCTCACCCCACCGAACATGGCTTTGGAACCAGACGGTCATGTCCCGCAGTCCTGTCCACCACTTGAGACGACTGGATCAACAGATGGGCCAACAGGCAACCAGTCTACGCGGTGTTTCTGGGCCTAGCCACCGCCTTCGATTGCGTCCTGCACCACACCGTGCTCGCCATAATCGCAGAATGAGGTTATCATTGAACCATTCGTAACATGATTCACAGCGTATCTGGAGGACGAGAAATTCCATATTAAGGTGGAGGGGATTAAACCAGACATGAGGAATGCAAGAACAGGAGGTTTTCAAGGAGCGGTCCTTGAGCCGCTTCTATTTTTACTATTTACAAACCTCCTCCGTATTTAAATATGGTCGTCTTTCCTCCCATTTGGCGGTGACATCAAAATGTAATAATGACAATGATGCTTCTGAATAATGAATTGTCCGAACGCATGCCATCCTTACAGGCAGTTTAGGATTTGTCCTGGTGCGAACTTGACAGACACAAAGACCAATCACTAATTATTCGAACTTGTTATATACCCACGAATACGAGACCAAGGAAGAACACGATAGCGTAGTCGGATGGAATAGTATATTTGGATGGTTATGCCAAAATACCGATGCGTTCCAACTAACTGGCTAGAGAGTCGAATACGAGCAATGCAACGTAACACGACAGCGTGCCAAATGGCGAGGATGCTTGACCGGGTGCCTTCAGCTTAGCGAGTCCAGTTAAACTATCAAGGTCAGCATCAATGTCGAAGTCGTCAAACCCTAGGCTATTGATTTTGGGGAAGTGTATGACGCTACAGATCACTCCCCCCCTAGTGGGTTCGTGAGGACCCTAAGACGATACCAGCCGGAAGTAAAAACCCAGTGGTTTCTCCACTGGTAAAACTCTCCCGATGGGCTCACTGCGTGAGGTGGCCCCTGGTTGTCTGAACCTTATTCTAAAGTGTCGTGGCGATTAAATAAATAAAATACAATAAATGAAATTGTACGTCGGTCGCGGTCATCTGTTCCTTTCGACGTTCCGTCCAGTGCTCGTTGCACCTGGAATATAAATAAAAGTCTTTAATACCACGAAAACGTTGCGTAAAAATGGGAATTATTTATATATAAACGTGTCGAAAAAGAAAAATTTACGCTTATCTTCGCCGTTTTTTTAGTTTTTATTACATGGTAAATAAAAATTGATATAAAAAGGCAAAGTGTACGAGGGTTTGTGCCGGTAAATAAGAAAAATAGTGCCTCGAAAAAAATGGTTGGCACACACACAGCTAAGTTGAATATGACTTCAGGTACTCTGGGAAGGTAGTAGAGCTGTTAAGCAGTCAACTCGATGAACAGCTCAATGTAGTACTGCATCTACTACCAACATCCAGTAATGTAACGAAGTTCCAGGACTGTGACACAGATCAAACGAACGTAACGATTTCGTCAAACCAAGTGTTTACAAAGCTCTCAACACCCAGAATGAGGAAATCTCCGAGATGGGACGATGTGATGCCATCGCTCCCACGGAATCGTACGTATCGCTAAGCATACCCATATGTGATCTACTCACATAACCGTTGGAAATAAGTCAACTCCCCAAAGAATAGAGGCGCGCTATCCTCTTAGTAATCTTCAAGGTAGGAGGCCAAAGGAACCCACACATTTACGGACCGACAAAGCTACTTCCCACACTGCCCAAGGTGCGTGGGGGCCTGGTTGCAGATGTTGTCCTTGACTACCTTGACGGGAACAACATCGCTCACCCCACCGAACATGGCTTTGGAACCAGACGGTCATGTCCCGCAGTCCTGTCCACCACTTGAGACGACTGGATCAACAGATGGGCCAACAGGCAACCAGTCTACGCGGTGTTTCTGGGCCTAGCCACCGCCTTCGATTGCGTCCTGCACCACACCGTGCTCGCCATAATCGCAGAATGAGGTTATCATTGAACCATTCGTAACATGATTCACAGCGTATCTGGAGGACGAGAAATTCCATATTAAGGTGGAGGGGATTAAACCAGACATGAGGAATGCAAGAACAGGAGGTTTTCAAGGAGCGGTCCTTGAGCCGCTTCTATTTTTACTATTTACAAACCTCCTCCGTATTTAAATATGGTCGTCTTTCCTCCCATTTGGCGGTGACATCAAAATGTAATAATGACAATGATGCTTCTGAATAATGAATTGTCCGAACGCATGCCATCCTTACAGGCAGTTTAGGATTTGTCCTGGTGCGAACTTGACAGACACAAAGACCAATCACTAATTATTCGAACTTGTTATATACCCACGAATACGAGACCAAGGAAGAACACGATAGCGTAGTCGGATGGAATAGTATATTTGGATGGTTATGCCAAAATACCGATGCGTTCCAACTAACTGGCTAGAGAGTCGAATACGAGCAATGCAACGTAACACGACAGCGTGCCAAATGGCGAGGATGCTTGACCGGGTGCCTTCAGCTTAGCGAGTCCAGTTAAACTATCAAGGTCAGCATCAATGTCGAAGTCGTCAAACCCTAGGCTATTGATTTTGGGGAAGTGTATGACGCTACAGCAGTATCAGAATGTTATTTTCCTAAGTGAAGCTGAAAATGTTTAGAAAGTAACATATCACCGCGCCATACAAATTCTTCTGGAGTAAATAACTGTTTTTATATTACTGTTCACATATATTGGGCAAAAGCCATAGCGTTAAACAGGCATAATCACTTAGTCTGAGAAGTATCCTGGTAATAGTGAATCATACAATCTATAAGGGTATAATGTATATAGAATGTTGAGAACAGATGAAGCCGAAGATACGTCGTTATTAAATAAATTCGCACTGTCTACAGACGCAATGCGAAACTACTGTTAATTACTTGGATGGACGGGGTGAATTTGGGACTGGTAATGTGTGGCGTCAATCAGAATGTAGCAACTCTTTAGGTCTTTGGCTTTGTAAAAGGTGTCATTCGAATAAATTAAGCCAAAGATGCAATTCTATCCAGCGACTGCTGTCATTTTACAGTATAGAACACATGGGGTTTCACCATTAAACCATTCAATAAGACTTCAAGGTTGGCGCTTGATATGGGGTAACTTGAGGTTAGCTTTGTTTTCAGGTGAGTGGTTGTCAGGATTCGAAGGGCCTGCATATTTGGATGCAGGTAGCATTTATTATGGAGCATAATGTATAGGGAAGTGGGTCTTGGGATACTCCAAGACGATTTCCTGCAGTTGAAGTCCTGATCAGCTGGTTTGAGCATTAACCTGGAGAAGTGCGAAGTGACCTATCCTTGCACACCAGAGGCAATGGAAATCAGGTGCACCCCCAACAAGTGCACAACCACCAGGGTGTCCTAAGGGAATAACCTAGGGCTAAGTTTCTCTGACACACTAGATAATAGTGCCAATTATAACGGAATGGCGGAAAAAGCAAACGCTTCATGTGCTTTATGAATATGGGCGACTTCCTTAGACCTCGGGTTATGAAATCTTTCCATCCTATATATTCCATCAATTCTATTCTGTTCTTATTTCTTTTAATCTCAAATATTACCTTGAATCGTATCAAGTACTCACGTGAACGTTTAAGGATTTATCAGCCCACCGCTATGAATTTAACAAATGTAACTATGAAAAGAAATCATGATGGATGGCGGAGCGCTTTAAAGCAAGCCGAACCACATCAAATGACACTACCTGAATTGCAGATCCCCACTGGGTAAGGTAGACTATTTACAATACCTTATATGTTCTAATATGCATTGTAGTGCTTGTCCAATAAAATTACAAGAAACTTGGTCACATAACCTCTGTGATGACAATCTAATTCCTTTGAATGGTTTCAAGTTGTTTCGCTAGGATCGGTGTAGTTCAACGAAAAGGTGTCTTGGAAGTGCAGCTACCTTTATTAGTACTCAGTGGTGTTCATTAAATTGTGTTCCGCATATTCTAATAACTTTATAGACTTTATGGCTGCTAAGTATCGTCCAAAACACTTAGGTAAATATGAATTCATTTACATCACAAACGTTTATGTCGCTCCTGGTTGCAGCCATTCTGAATTCTCCAGATTCGCTGACAAATTCGCGGAATTTGCTGCTCCGATGATATATGGTTCATTGTCTGTTGTCTGTGGTGGTTTTGACTCTTGTGACTGGGGTTTCCTGTATTCTCTTGGTCACAGTAACCTAGTCAATTTCCCAACTCGTTTTAATGTCACATTAGGCTTGATCTTCGTGAATGGACCTTGAATATATGGAACTCTGAAGCGTGCACTACTGCCGAGCTCAGATCACTGTATTATATGTGTTCTGCCAAAAATATACGACAAAGTGCACAAAAATACCTTTAATTATCAATCTAAGAAGACTATACATAGAAGTTTGACGTATAATAATATCCATAAACTCATAGGCATGTTACAGAACACATTGAGAAATATTTGAAAATGATGCTCTGGATGATACAATCCATGCTGCTACATGCTGTCTTAAGGTTTGCTTTGATATTTGTTGCCCAGCCGAAATAGTTTTTCCAAGGTTTAGTAGGCTTGCTTCTCAGTATTTAAAAAGACTGCAAAGAGAAAAAAAACTGCACAAGTCGAAGGAAAATGCTAGTGTTAAACGACCTAACTGCCTGATCAAGTCTAAAACGAAACTGTTAAACTTTATGTACAACCAAAAGTTTAAGTCATGTAAAAACCCTCCTAGTATATGAAGACTTTTTAACAATCTTACTGGAAAGAGGAAACTCAGAAACGAAACCCGTGGCAACGTGTGTTCATCAAACAAATCATCCATACATAAGCCCGCGAATGTTATCTTATCTAGTTCTTCCCGTATAAAGGAATGAAATTTTCTGAAACCCGATGAAACAGAGGTGTTCAAATGTCTGAAATCACTAAAACCTTCGCACTGCCCCGGACTAGATGGCACGCCAGGTATTCATTTCTCAAAATGCACCGATATTCCATTTCATCCAGTCACAAACACTTTTAATGGGTCTTTTGCTAGAAACGACGTACCAACCGCCTGGAAGGAAATTAGTTTCGACACTTAAGTCCACGTCTGCTGCAGCCAAAGTGAAATTCCGACTAATCGCAATTACCTCACCATTCCTAAAAATAACAGGAAAACTGTTGCTTCGTGCGCTTGAATCTCCTTTGCAGGTTTTCAGAGATCCAAATCAATTTACCAACAAACCCAGAAGGAGTACTTTAAATGCTGCAGTTGTTTTACATCAAAGTATTATTGCCAGTTTGAACAAAGGTGCTCAATATGTTGGATCTGCCTTTGACTCTGTTCCTAGACCCCTTTTATTAAGCAAGCTTACCAGTACTTACATCGAGTCCTGGATTGTAAACCAGCTTGATCCATATTTTTCTGACGGAAGACAGTGCACTCTATATAGGGGAAAACGTCCTACTTCACTGCTTAGTGAAGCCGGTGGGCCTCAAGGTGCTGTTCTTTCTCCTTTCCTTTTCTCTTTCTTTTTGAATGACTTACCAACCTAAGCTAACTTTGTTAAGTATGTTGATGACCTGACAGTATCCATGAAGATCATTTCCTCTTCTGATTGCTCTCAGTTTAAAAACTTCTCGAAGGAAATTTGCCAGTGGTCTTCCTTAAATGGCCTCACACCCAATCTTCCCGAATGTCAAATGGTTCATTTTAGCTTGAGACATGAAAAAGACCTTTGCACATTGCTTCAGTCCCATGACTCTTGTCTCATAGATGGCTCTGTTACAGGGAATGTAGCAAGCGTGGTCCATTTTGGCTTATGCTTTTCTTCTCATCTTTCTTGGTCCCCTCATATTTTACTGACTTCTTGGAAAATCCTTCGCTTGGCCTCTTATATTAGTAAACTCAGACTATCTGGCATAACTCAACCTCTTCTCTTACGTTTCATTATTCCTGTGTGTTACCTATACTTATTTATTGTTTCCCCTTATTCCTTCTTGGATTCCGGAAAAAAGACTACGTTGTACTGAGAAGGCTTTGAAAGGCTGTTAGTAGAGCGAGTAGCGCACCACTAACTGAGCTGGTAAATGTAGTTGTGGACAGACATTTGAACTCTTGTACACTACCGGCTAAAATCATATTATCTGATGACAAGCATCCTCTACATCCGCACCTCTCTCCATGTCTGTCGCCTGCGAAGACAAGAAGCAAATATATTAAACCCTACACACGCACAACCACATGCAAAAATTCAACCATACCTTATTTAGCTTGTGTATTGTGTGAAGAAAATTATGTTAAACATAGTCTCATCAATCAACTGTGTAATAGCGAACAGTTATCTAGTTTCTTAAGTCATTATTGATTTCAACAATCCTCTTATTCGTTACTCTTTGTTATATATTGTCAAGCAGAACAACAGTTAATGTTTTAAATTGTACTATGGGTAAGTCGATATCGTAGCATACGCTGAGAATTCTGTGCTGTAAACATAACTATGGTGCGGAATAAAACCAATATATTATTATCATAGTTATAAGGGGACAGCTTGGAGCGCAAACGCTTAAGTTATTCCTCATGGTAGTGAAAGCTTGCATTTAACCTCTCTTAGAGGCGTTCAACTTGCCAGCCTCTCCTCCACTGAGGAAAGACACGAGTAATCTCAAGAAGGTGCATAGAGGCACAACAAAGTCAGCTGTCGGACAAGCAAGTGAAGCAAACCCACAACAATGTGGACGACTCGACCTGTCCCTCTTAGGCCATGGACGGAAAAGAGGTTACCTAATAACAGCCTACGAAATCATCCACCAGGTGGGCCACCTCAACAGGACAACACCTTTGACAGAAAACAAACCGTCTTGTGCGAACCCCACCCGCGTACCCCACTACAGGGCAGATGAGAACCACACAAAACTTCTCTCACAGAGTAAGCCTTATGAAACGCCCTACCTGAAGAAGTAGCCACAGCCATGTCAGATCACTCCTTCAAGCGAGTACTCGAAAAGCACGTGAGCCCAAATGGCCTACCACCGACACTGGCCAGTAGCAATTGGAGATATACTCATCCATTCCTGTGTTGTCCAACCGTGGTATCCGCAATATGATCCGTATCTTCTCCATATTATTACTGGTGACACTTATTTTCCAGAAGTGCGCTTTAATCCTATTTTCTCATTTCCCAATCGCACTATTTCTTGCATCGCTTTTTACATAGCGCTGATACGTATTTAAGATTGCCTATGTAAACAGGAACTTCGAAATGTTCGTTGATCCTAGCTGTAGCTCCTTTGATCACACAAACTAACAAGCCCATATTTCTCAAAACCAGACTTTCAAAAATACAAACATCAACTCTTAAGTTATAAGAAAGCAGGAGGTAAAGACTTCTGCGATCACCGAAGTAATATAAGCGGACGAAAACAACCGATCACAAGGTTCTGGAAGCGAGAGCTCAAAACCTACAAGCTTCCTCTGCTCGCACCATTGACGTTGGATGTTGCGACCTAGACTCAACATTTAGATGCGAGAGTTCAAAACTGTCAGTTTGTTATGCTCACCTAGAAGATATCGGATACAGAAGAATTCACAATTTTTTCTTTCAACAACGAACGTCAATTGATTTTCCAGCAACCAATCATGGGTTAGCAGAGAAACGACACTACTTTTGAGACAGTAGCTCGACACTGATTCAGACCTGCTTCGTATAAATTTGGCAGGTGTAGAAAATCTCATTCTGCACTAGACACGAGGCAATGCTTAAGATGCTTAAAATGTGAAGAAATCTGATCCTATCTTACACATAGTATTTCATTGAAGATCGAAAGTTGAAGGCTAATTGTCGAAAAATCAAAATGTCCAGCAGTAAAAGCTAGGACTATATTTTATTACTGTCCTGATCTAAGAATTTAATCTTTCCTTGTATTTTTGTAGGGTAAAATTGTAGTTAGATAGTAAACGAATAAAATGTTTAAATATTTTATAGAGCTAGTTGGTTCTATACAGGACTACAGCAGTTCGGGGAAGATGTAATTCCTGATTTTCCATATGATCTGATAAATTAATTACATATCCACTCCGTACGTACGTATCCTGTTTCAGTCGCATTGCTTCGTTTTCATCTCATTCATATCGCCGTGCCTTCTGCTTTCGGTATTGTAACACTGCATTTATAATCGTATATTCTCGCTCTTGGCTTATTTGAATTTATTTCTGGCCTCGATATGTGCGTATCTTCCATCGAATGGTCATAATAAAAATTGAGCACCTATCAACAAATTTGTAGCTTCCACAACGTTTAAGAGCATTGGCATGACCAAAAAGTTATGTATGTAAAATTTGTTTACGATTCAGTGAGATGTATGGTAATATAGGTGTAAAATATACTGGTATTTCGTCACGTCTATGCCCACTCGGTGGCCGGAATCACCTCATGTTAACAAATCTGCGGAACTGTTGGAAACCAAGTGTCGTGGGTGATAATGATAAATCCTTACGTATGAAGAACCATCAATGCATTTAGTCACTTCGGATTTTGTCTGTGCGTCCCATCTTTCAGTCCTCTAAAATTGTAGGATTAGGGATTCATTGACAAACTTAAGACTGACACATAGATTGCATCTAGTCCAATGCATCTATTTTGGTTTAAGCAACCGGCTAGTGTCATAAACCTTCATAAAGTTGTAGTCTGATTATGCGAAGGAAGAGTTTGATAAGGAGCTGTCTACCGTACTACAGAAGTCAAAACGTTCAGATGACTTTAGCGCTCAAGTAGAGAAGCCGAGTCTTTCAGAAAGCCATATTCGGGGTATTTGCGGAATCCCATACAAATGAACTGACAACAGTGATCGCTTCTTGCAACTTAGCTCCGACAATCACTTGTTTCTAGCTAGTACTAACCTTAGGCATAAGGAGACACTGTCTCGGCGTCCGCCGACTTCAAACCAACGATGGACACGGGGATCACATTGTAATAAGCCATCTATGGAGTGCCAGTTTAGACTGATCACGCGCTAGTACAGGCTTGTTAGTGTCTACGCCTTACCAGCTGCAGAAACCAGGGGGCAGTGAGGCCCATGCGTCTTCAATTGGTAGATGAGAACGCCAAGTATGTATTCAGAGAGGAGTTAGCTATGCATTTATCTGCACGTCACAGCAATGCTCTTACTGAGGAAACCCGGTGTGATATTAAGTCTGCGGTAGAAACAGCGATAAAAACACTTGGTAACGTACGCCCTAAGATAAGCAAGCGTCATTGGATTTTCGCGACGTCATCCGAACTGACTGATCCGAGCGGAGTGATTTTAGCTGGCTGTCTCTAAACACGACGAAGAGCAAAAGGAACCTAAACGTAGGTTGGCAAAGAGTCTTCTGGTCGATCGCGAGAAGTGTTGGATGCGAAAGCGGGAGAGTTGGAGAAGTCATCAGCTTTAGGTACCACCCGGTAACTTTTTAAGCTTATTAAGGATACCGACAAGAAAAAGACGATGGTGAGTAAAACCACCACCAAGAAGATAGACGCTGATAACCTCCCAGAACGGGCGGCTACTACGTTGGGCAGAAGACTGAGGCACAGTTCAGTTGGCCCTCAGCAAAGCTTCACTTGCCCAACATCCAGCCCGAGCCTGAATGGGACGTTGGGGTTGGTCCTCCGACTCTCTTTGAAGTTGAGGAAGCTGTATCGAACCTGAAACGATGCAAACCGGCAAGACTTGATAGTTTGTCACCTGAAGCTTTCAAGAGTGGAGGTAAGAGCTTGCTGCTTGAATTGACGGAGGTACTACGTAGTGTACGGGAAGCAAATGTAGTGCCATGAAACTGGTGCACTCCATTGATCCCAGTCTATAGGAAGGGAGAGAAATCTCTATGTGACAACCGTAGGGGAATTAGTTTGACTAGTACTGTGTCCACTATCCAAGGGTCCATAGTTATCGGATGCCTAAGTAGAGCTCGAGGAGAATAAACTCTAGATAACTAGGCAGTTTTCTGACTTGATCTGGGGTGCTTCGACCACATTTTAATCCTCCAGCACGTTCTGAAATACAGGCATACCTACCATCCAATGACCGACACCGGCTATATATTTCATGTTGCGGCAGTGTCTGACTGTGAAGAAAGTTCCGAGCAAATGCATAACGCTGATCAAAGCTCTTAACTAAAACTCACGCAGCAGTGTAAGAGCTTATGGAGAGTTTTCATTAGAATTGGCGGCAACTTTTGGTGAGGGGTGTCCACTGTCACTGTTCCTGTTTAACTTCGTCAAAGACGTACTAATGGACATAGACTTGAGCACGTCTGACCTCACAAGGATTGACCTACTTCCTTGAGGTCATCTGGTTGACTTGGAGTATACAGACGATGATATGCTGCAAAGGGAAGACATTGACAAAATGCAGTGTCTTCTGAGGGCGATGAACAGAAAACTGACTATGTTTCGCATGTGTTTCGCACCTGTCAAATTTTTGGTGAAACTACAGGACTGATCTGCTGGAAGTAATCCCAGTTTAATGATAGGGGTGAAGTGGTGGAATGTGTCAACCGCTGTGAAGTGTAGCAACTTGAGCCAATGCGCCTGTGTGTGTGGGAGGGTTCTACATTGATTCTGTCAGTCAGTCATTCAATAGAATGACAAGTGTGTATGAAGAGAGTGAGCAAGTAGACAAAGGTTGATGAAAAACTTCTAGTATTGTACATATGTTCGCCATTGGGATGGAATTTGATGCATTTCTTATGGTATGCAACTATTGATTGTTATCGCTCTGAACACCCTAACCAGGCAACTTAAATCTACCTACATGACTTAGATCAGTAGGCAGACTTTATGGTCATGTGTCACGTCTCGGTCTGGCAATCCTCAGCTCTCTTTTAACTTAATCCTACTTAGTCTATGACTGCGTTATAGCATCGCAGTTATTTGGCAGCTGAGTGTATGTAACATGTGTCCAAATCACCTCAATCCATGAACGTGAATAATATCGACTGAGACACCTTCCTTGCTTAGTACTCTATCCCTAACCTCTAAATTGTCCATATAGTGGTTCCATGAAACACGAAGATCTATACGAACACACTTAGGGACAGAAACCTGTGTTTTCACCTTTCAACGTTCATGTCAGCTGTATAATAGGACAGTGTATACTTCCTTCGATCGATGGTTACAACCCTCATCTATCATGTTTATAATTTAAGCTATGAGTTACACTTTTTAAGTGGTGGCTTATCATACTATTCGGTTGGTCAAGTCGAAGTGGCTGAGGCGGAGTTTAAACCCATAATCTATTGTTTATTATAGGAAACTAACAATACAAACTCGATTTCATCGACCCTAAACCTTCTTTGAGTCAAGGAAAATGCGATCCGTACTCATTTTATCTATATATACAAGTGTATTCACTGCATACCTTTTTCATTTGTCTAACAGATATTTTCTTTTTACTGTTCTATAGGCTTCACTAACTGTCGCTGTTGAAAAGCAAGTAATGTTTCCCAGCAACTTATGTTAACGATGTTGGAAGAAAACTTCATTTCCTCCGCACCTGAAAGGACCCTCGACCTATCTACAAATGAATTGGATTCTGTTGCATACCCTAGGCTTTCAGGTTGTATGGTGAAGAATGATGTTTCCGGTAAACTACTTAGTCCAACCAAACAGGTAATCAGCTGATAAAATTTGAAGTGTGTGTATATAGGTTAGGTTTCGTTCAAATATTACCGTGAGTTCTGTTGATCCACCAGCTAAGGAACTTTCAACTCATGATTTTACTGAAGATGACCTCGATGATTTGACTCTTATAACGTCTATGTCTTTCGCTAATCCGAATTCACCAGCACGCTTTCACTCTACCCAAGCATCATATGATACATCAGTGTGGTTCGACCATAAGTGGAGCAAGATGTCTAGTCTTTCTGTGAATACTGAATACAGTCCACAAAACAATTGCCCAAATTTTCCATCGCTTAGAACCAGCGACCACATTCCACAGCAACCGTTATCATTGTCTTACAGTTCTGTATATAACTCTAGGAACTATGGTGTAGACTTCAGAAGTTCTAATGATCAAGAGCCAAGGGAAGTACCTAGCTATACATTCAGTTATTCTGATAACCTCTCTTTGTCAAGTTTAACGGAATTGGATTCTTTAGATGCAGACATCAAATACTCCTCTCATGATGGATGTAGTATTTCTGATTTAGATCTTTCTCAGCCAAAATACAATACAGCGAAAACCTTGAAGCGGGAGATCAAGGATTTGTCTTTGAAAATCAGCAGTAATTCAGAAATGGTGAGTCTCATTTCATTTTTGACTAAACAAGCTTATGGGTCTTAAACAGTCAGCTGACTGTTGATCTGCTAGACTTATATTTTGATGACGTGTACTAGTTGTCTGCAGTTATGCAACTATCAGAATATTAGCTGAACCTAATCTGATTAGCGATCGCATTGTCCTAATACGCAGATCTGTAGAGATTGAGACAAATGACTAGTCTGGAGAGGGACCAATCAAAATGTACTTTATGTTATCACATAGCAGTTTTCCAAATTATAACGGTGGACATGGGATATTGGGAAATGAATTCTTCGGAGTTGGACAGTTTAATCGAATAACAAGTGAAGATTATCGATATACTTACGCAATCCAAAATTTCTGGTACTGAATCGTCGCCTACTACACCAGCTTTAATGGCTCCTTCAGTTAATAGTATCTCCAGTAGCATCACTGAATTTCACTACAATCCTGATGCCAATGAAACTTGGTTCAGATGTTACGAAGACTAATTCAGATTGGATTTTGCTGACCAAGATGATTCCTGGAAGGTACGTCTCCTACTTCGACCTACTCCACCTGAGCTCGACCAGTACTGCCACATTATTTCTCCACTAAACCCACATGATCACACTTTTGAAGCCACAGTTCAGACACCGAATGACTTGTCTGCACAATATTGACGACTTGGTAACCTGGAGTGTAGTACGAGTTTAGCCCAATCCGGACGCCAGAGTGGTTGTGAAATGCATACAGTTGGCCAAACCTTTCATTCCTCCGCATCACCTGGCCACACACACCCTGTCCTTATCTCGCCTTTTCATCGGCCTAGTAACTCATACGAGACCAACCGACCCTCTATGAAGACACCCCCATCGCCTTGCCGGTATTGTGGTGCCTGGCATTTCGTCAAATATTGTCCACATAAACAACATCGATGCTGGGGGGGCCATAAGGACGGTTTTTGCGGCTAACACAAAACGACATGTACAAAAATCATCTTCCAGATACCGCCGCAGATCCCATTCTCGATCGGTAGGTAAATCTCTTAGCTTGATAACTGATTTTCATGTTCATGTACCTACCCGCCAAAAGAATACAGAGAAGACTACTGATCCCCCAGTAACAAGGAAAAACTCCCTCTGTGTCGGTCAGATACATGCAAGAAAAATACAGTGTGGACCGGTCTGACCACAAATAACATTCTTTCGAAGAGGGAAGTGATATGGGGATAGAAAGAAATGACTAGTATAAAGAGAGACTAATCAAAATGTACTTTATCACTTCTATAGTTTGACGATGGATCAGCCAGTCAATAGGATTATTTTAAACTGAACTATCTATATATTAGCTGTATTTTCTTTTGTTTTTGGTCTTCGGTCTTTCGACCCCAATACATGCTACTACATGTCCATCGTGTCTTATTCATTAATTAGTTTGGTCGGGAATCAACTAGGAAATTATTGAATGTTGGTGGCAGACAGTCGATATCCGTGCATCATTAGCAGTAATAGCACATAGCAGTTTTTCTAATCAAACCAAGATCTTAATTAATAATATCACCTCAGACGATAGATGAAAGTGATTCTAGTGATAAGCGAATGTCAGTTACAATCGAATCATACTTAAAATTTGACTATGAAACTAGTGGAAAAGGTTCATAGTACTGTTTTCATTATCGTTTAGAAAAGCTCTTCAGTTTGAATGTTGAGAAAAGACAGTGTTCACTTTACCGCTTCCATCCGATAATTTACCTAAAATCTGAACCTAGCAAACAAGATATATCAAAAGAATAGTGGACAAAAAACAATTTAATTTCATATGGTGTAGCAGAAGCACTGCTTGAGGTAACGATAGCCAGATAGAGTGTCGATTGACTTTTTCTTCTTTTGTTCATAGGAAAGACAAGATGTGGTTGCAGCGAAGAAAATTTCTTTCCGACCAAGTCATTTACTACTAAGCTGCACATTCGTAAATATATGTTACAGTGGACAGAACTTTCCGGATTTATTTCCGGTTATGGGGCAAAATATATTGAATAACTAAGGGAAGTTAATTAATACACATTTGGGTTTAGAGTGAGAAAATTAACAAGGAGTTTATGAAAATAAATGTATAAATACCTAGTACAGGATGAATCTATGACACTCAAAGCTTTATGATGGCCATGACAAAGATGAAGCTTGGATGTACCTTTTTTGGACAGCGCTGGTTTGAACTTCTGGATGGCTAGTGTTTCAGCTATTGAAAAATGCCTTGATCTTACTCCCTTCAAATGGTTTGATCAAACCCTGTAGCGGATTTTGAATGAGCTCTCAAAAGCAGTTAAGATGCTTTGGTTCACAAGGTGTTCTGTTATTGAACTGAAGATACATCTCCGTTCTCCCTTTGCTAACTAGATTAGGTACTGTTGGCGGGCACATTTTACAAGCGGACGCATAGTACGGCCGATGTACGCAGCTCCACAACAGCAAGTAAACTGGTATACACACATTAATGTAGTTTAATGCGTCGACATGTCGTTCATACATTAACCAAAAAGTTTTTTGCATGAGAAAATTACTCGAAGGTTGGCCGCTAAGTCCATCCAAATCAGCATAGGACCAGGCATTACTACGTAACCGTCCAAGTTGCCACACCTCATCTCATATCATTACATCAAGTAAAAAGGCAGTGAAGTAAAAGATGAAGAAAAGGAAATTCAGTCAAAAGAAATATAAAGCACTAAAAGGGAGAAAGAAAGAATAAGAAAATGGTGAGATGAGAAAAATGTGTGTATACATCTGCACCACTGACATCGATTCTGAGCCATATCTCACCTAGATTCTCCAACCACTGGTTACTCTTGTCCTGCGGACCCCAACCGGTCAGTCTGCATCGCCACACATGACCTAAACCAACAGTCAAGGACTTCATACATTAATGTCGTATCTTGGTCTGGCCTCCTCGAGCCTTTTTCCAGCCTGAATTTACTTCGGCCAACTTTATGTGACGAGGTAGACGGCGACTAGGCATACGTAACACATGACCCAGCCATCTCAGTCCATGAAGCTTCACAACTCACTTCTCTCTAAAACTCTACACCTGACTTCTGCGTTACTCACGTAGTTACACCACGAAACACGGCCTTTGTTACGAAGTCAGTGGTGGTCAAACACCTGAAGCCTTCTCATGTCTTCCACCTTCAATGTCCACATTTCACAGCCATAGAGTAGAACAGAGCGGACTGCTGTGCAGTACACGCGACATTTAATAGACAATCCGATATCACGGCGGCAAAAGTTGACAAAAGCCAGCCGAGCTTTATATATTCGTGCAGAGATTTAATTGGCCATTGAGCCACGAGGGGTGATCCCGCTTCCCAGGTAATTGAAGTGGTCGACATACTCAATCACTACACTCTCCATTGTTAGCTGAGGCCCCGTTGAAGACCAATCCTGGGGCAGCAATTTGCATTTGTGTAGTGAGAAACGCATCCTAAACATTCTCAAATTGCCACTCAAAGTGTCCAGAAGACTACATCTTGTCACTGTCTTCATATAACAGGATTATATCATCTGCGTACTCTAGGTCTAACAAAAGTTCTCTTGTTATTAGGTCAACGTCTGTGTAACCTGGTGACGAGAGGGAGACCTCTATATAAGAATATCTATGATATAATTGAATAAGAATGAGAAAGTGGGCACCCTTGACGGACGCCACTCAACGATCACAGCTCCCCGGATATGTCACCATAGGCTCTAACACACCCACAAGTGTTCGAATAGAAAGCCTTCAATAAGATGATGTACTTACTCGGCACGCCTTTCAGTGAGAGACATTGCCATAAGACTCCTCGATCAACGCAGTCGAATACCGCCTTCAGGCAGAGAAATACAGCTATTATCGGGCGTCGGTAAGCGTGCCTGTGTTCCAGAGCCTGGCGCAGTTTGAATATGTGGTCGATACACCCCCGGCCGGGTCTAAATCCTGCCTAGTTTCTTTGGGCTTACTGTTCCTGACCTCCACTCAGGCGTCGAAGAATTATAGAACCTAGGATCTTGGCCGCGAAGTATCTTCTAGTTAAGGATTTTGACAGTCATTTCCTGAGGATGTCTTCAGCAATATCATTTTTGAATTCAAAACTCAACAAAAGAATTTTTTTCGGCGCCAATTGTGTTCGTTCAATTGGGTTCTTTGGTTTGATGTTCTTATCTATGAATCTGAGTGGGAAACCGTTTCCCGCTAGAGTTGATCGAAGATTTTGCAGATCTCCGTCAACAGTGTCCTCAGTTTATATTTTCCTGATCCTCAAGGAAACTGAATGGATGAGATTTCTCTTCCTACGTAGAGAAGCTGAATTTTGAAAATTAATAAACTGTACGTTCTACGTAGGCTTTTTGTAGATCGATCTACGAAGTGAATTATCATGAAAACGGAACGTTAAGTTTTATTCTGATTCTAAAGTGAATTTAGTTGAAGAATGGGTGTTGTTGAGAGTATAAAGTAGGTTCACAAGTTTCATATTTCCATCTCTTTGTCTAACATATTAAGTATGCGATACAAATCAAGTATTTTGTTTGAAATAAATATAATGCTGCAAATCGAATCAAATGGCTTTTCCGAATTTCTTTGAAAATTGTTTTTCTTATTGTTCACTTTTAAAACGAATGAATTTCATCGTACAACTGTTACTAGCGTTGATTTTGAACAACAACCAAAACCACTTTGAACTAATGAAAGAAGAAGGTATCAACACCAGGCAACCTTCAGCAGTTTTATCAGTCTACCAAAGAGACTGGAGTCAAAAGGATGATAATTAGTGAGACTTGGCTGAAAATGTCATTCGAAACAAGCGGCTGAAATGCTAGGTGAAGCACTTTTGAAGAATTCTATTAGCCTACAGCACTCATCTGTCGATCAGTCTCCAACCCTAACCTAAATGAGGCGTAAATGTTGATATTCGAAGTTGGAAAGGCTATTGGACACAATATAAATATACAAGAGAGCAGGATATGACTGTTGACCTCGAGAAATCTCGAAGGATAGAAGTCCCCAACACTTGCCACATTCTTCAACTCCGTTAATCGATAACTATGGTTGACATTTGACTATGAACACATTACTGAGTAGTTGCGTACTGGTAATCAACGCTGTCTACTCTCATTCATGCAATAGTGCAAGAGTTTATGCAGATTTGTCATTTGACTTAACGACTAGTGATGTCGTCTATGAATGTCCACTATTACCACTCCTATATGACTGTTATGGAAATGCTGATGGATATGACCTAAGTACCCTAGACGTTTCAGCCATTGACTTACCCGGAGGAGGATAAGAATCAGTTTACTTATTTTGAAAGGCGGTTACCGACGTATATATGAGAGGCCAACTTGTTCTACCTATAGTTTCAGCAAGATATCGGGTTGTCTATTAAATGTCGCGTGTACTGCACAGCAGTCCGCTCTGTTCTACTCTATGGCTGTGAAATGTGGACATTGAAGGTGGAAGACATGAGAAGGCTTCAGGTGTTTGACCACCACTGACTTCGTAACAAAGGCCGTGTTTCGTGGTGTAACTACGTGAGTAACGCAGAAGTCAGGTGTAGAGTTTTAGAGAGAAGTGAGTTGTGAAGCTTCATGGACTGAGATGGCTGGGTCATGTGTTACGTATGCCTAGTCGCCGTCTACCTCGTCACATAAAGTTGGCCGAAGTAAATTCAGGCTGGAAAAAGGCTCGAGGAGGCCAGACTAAGATACGACATTAATGTATGAAGTCCTTGACTGTTGGTTTAGGTCATGTGTGGCGATGCAGACTGACCGGTTGGGGTCCGCAGGACAAGAGTAACCAGTGGTTGGAGAATCTAGGTGAGATATGGCTCAGAATCGATGTCAGTGGTGCAGATGTATACACACATTTTTCTCATCTCACCATTTTCTTATTCTTTCTTTCTCCCTTTTAGTGCTTTATATTTCTTTTGACTGAATTTCCTTTTCTTCATCTTTTACTTCACTGCCTTTTTACTTGATGTAATGATATGAGATGAGGTGTGGCAACTTGGACGGTTACGTAGTAATGCCTGGTCCTATGTTGATCTTGATGCTGAAGATACTCCACGCTGCTTTGCTGTCTTACTGTGCCTCTGTAACATAGCCAACAAAAGAAGACGTATGAAACCCGCAGGTTTTCGATAACAGAGGTCTTCGTAAAATAACCTGCTTGTGGTGAAACCAACTCTTCCAAAATTGAGGTTATGTGTAACGTAAGGCGAGAAGGGAAAGCATGTCGTTGAGATACTGAGGGTTTTAACCCAAGTTTAGTGACCAGATTAACTGAAGTGTCAACTGACATACGGTGATCAGATATGATCACCTCTGACCGCCGTCTCAATCACTGGTTACCCTAGTGTTCAAGAAAAGAGAAATCCCCCTGTGATAACCACAAAGGAATCAGTCTGATGCACATAATCTAAGATCCCATTTTGTGGAGCTCAGGAAAAACAAACCTCAGGAGACCTGATAGTGAGTGTATTGACCAGATTTTCCCTCTCCCCCAGATCCTTAATTTCAGGTGCCCCACACTAACTACATGTCTTGATCTAAAAGCGACGGTGTTTATCACTGTAAGAAGTGCCCGTTACTGCATCACCCTACTGAAGTATCTATGCTCGAATATATGTTCGCCTTGAAGCCTATGGTGAAGCATCAGATAAACTACATGTCGAGTGGTGTTCGTCAAGGATATCCTCTTTTTCTGTCTCTGCCTATCAGAAACGTATGCCGCAGATTGTAAATAGTACATAGCAGGATACTTATGAATCCTCCCAATTGGGTTACCTTTGATCACCTATTTTCTGTAATGAATCTAAATTAGTATAATATACCAGGTATGATTGGTTACATTTTGTTCTGCATCCTAGTTATTGGACGGTTGTGTATTTATCATTTTAATCGCGATGTCAAAATAAACAGGAAATTCATCTCATCTATGCTGGAATTGGAATCTTTATGACGAATAACCTGCATTCTCTTTTATTATATGTACAGTAAATGATGAGAAGAATGACATCATACACATAGATCCATGTCTCTTCTTTGAAAGCTGGCGATTTTGTACAGCTGTCTGTTAATACTGGGGGATGATTGTAGGTGAAATAAAAATCTCGGTTGCGGCGGGATTAGAACCAGCTACCACTCGGTTTCCGCCCCAGTACTCTACCAACTGAAAGCTACGAGGCCTGACTACTGACCAAGTTTTTATTTCACTTTATCACCAAGGATGGTCGCTGGTTTGAATCGTGCGCGGTCCAAATTTTCATTTTATCTTCAATCATCATCACCCAATATAAGTCTGCTAAACCACGGCTGCTATTTCAGATAGTAGTCAAAATGATGATCAAGTATGATGCTCCCCCTCTCTAATTCAGTCAGATTTGGATTTGAATGAAAAGTCCTTACTAGGCAGCCAATGTGAATACGATCAAGCGGTAGTAACACGTCACGAATTCACGCAGTAGTCGGACATAGCCCTTGATGATTTAAATGCAATAAAAATCTGGTCAACAGTCAGGCTTCGTAGCTCAGTTGGTAGAGCAGCGAGCTGGAAACCCGGTGATAGTGGTTGGTCCGAATCCGACCACGGCCGAAATATTCATCTTCAATCTTCATCGAGTTTGAATACAAGTCTGCCAAACCATGTCTATCTCAGATAATCGAAATGATAAACAGCTGTCTGTAGCAAACATTGATGGTTCCAGAACTGCTTTGTTGCTGAATTTATATAACTTGGTTTGAAAAGATGTGGACCTTTGTTAATATCTGCCTCAAACAAATACTTTTGTTTATTGTTGGTGTTTTGATGTTGCTAGGTATTTGCTTACAATGTATGCACCAGTATGTTGAGTAGTAATCTTAAAATATCACTTTTTATCGCTCAGTCTTTCAGAACTAACACACATTACCGTCTTTTTATAATTTTCAAAAAGCCTGCTGATGAAATTCGTCTGGAAGCCGAGTGTATTGTAAATGAAGCTTGTCGGACGCGTCCATTCGGAAATGATTCAATTAATCCCCTGATTCTTAATCCAAGAATCACTGTGAATATACCAGAGCATGATATTTTGTATACAAATCTTATAGATTTGTCAGTTGATGAATCAGAAATAGTTCGTCTGGAGCGTCAACGAGTTGCTACCCAACGTAAAATGTTGGATGCACAACGGAGACAAAGTGCTAAAGACAAAGTTGTAAGTTGTTTCTGTGTCTACTTGACAAATTTTTCTTCGGCCAATACTAGTGTTTGCTGTTTACTGATCAATACTCTTACTTCTATTTACGTCATCAGTTGTTTTGTAGAGAAATCACTTGTGTTTTGGTGTTAAGAGAGTCGACTGACAAGAAGCCGTTTTCCCGATTTGGGTTTCCTTCTTCTTGGCACTCATCAACATGACTTATTTGCACCTATTAGGAAACTGGTGTGTTTCCCCGATGATTGAAATCTGCATCTCCTGTAGAATCGCAGTGTGTACACGAGTTGGTCGTCACTAGATAACCGGTGCAACTGTTCGTAAACAACAACATATGAATAAGCTAATGTTGTAAGACATGAATCCAGCATCACGAAGATCCGGGAGTACCGAGGCATCCGCATAGGAGCCTATCTGCTAACAGAGGTTGAGCAATTCGGCTGTGTATAGCTACGGGAAACTAAACGCATCGACAAACTACAACTGAAGCCCCTTACTCAAGAGGGGGCCTTTATGCCCCAGTGGATAACGCCTTGGTATTTGAAGCGGTGGACACGAGGTTCGAGTCTCAGTGGGGACAACATCACTTGGCACTGGGTTGTAGTTATATCTAACTGATGAGTCACAAATAGGACGAAACGCGCTCCCGAGATCCCACTGCTCATCACCAGGATAAGTACAACATGAATATCTGGCTGGACCGAAGCGTCTGTATATGAGCCCCATCTTCCAATAGAGGTCGACCCTGCATATCAACGGGGAATTACAAGTATCAAAGACAATATTGGAATAAATGTTTGCCTGTGATACAACTTTTTCCAATAAATTCACTATCCCAAAGTATATCTGTCAATCATCATGGAATGGGTGTATATCGTTTTAAAGATTTAATCAAACCATTCTGGTTACCGCATATTTCATTTCATTCTCCGTCTAACTTTTGACACCAGGAAGTCCTTGAACCATTTTTCTCCTCAAGTTAGTATTCATCATGGACTGATATCAGTTGGAGAGTCATTGGAAAGGTGGGAGAACTGGAGAGCTGTTTCACCCTGGAACGGGACTTCTAAGCAGTTGCACCCATGCCCCCCCCCCCGAGGGATCTCACACCAGGACGTAATACCCGTCCAGTGATCCCACCTTTCCAGTGTTTCCCTAACTGTGATATCAGTCCATGATGAATACCAACTTGAAATCAATAAATCCTCACAAACCCCCGAATTGCATATTTCTTCTGTTAACTAAGTAACTAACATACAGTTAATCCCAAATGTTCCACTTTACATGCCCAACAGGAAAAATCCTGTTTGACTGACTTGCTAATTCCTTCACCTACAAGACTATACTGATCTTTGTTCTATCAGGATATGAAAGAAGAACAAGTAAGTATTTCATAGAAGAGTCTCTTTTCGACGATTTCATTTTCAAAGCTGTACACAATCGTTAATTTATACATTTTTTCTACTCTGAGGATTTGATAGTTGAAAACAGTTTATCAAGCTTGGCAGGCAACACAAATAGTATCAATCATATGAGTTGTCAATTAAAATCAAAAAATGATGATGAGTAGGGAATATTAATCAAAATAAATTTGGACAAGAAGTTTCGTAATATGACGGGATAATTGGGAAGTGAATTGTGATTTCAGGCGAAGCATAGTAACAAGAATGAGTAGCAAGTGACTTCAGAAGTGAATAGTGTGAAGACAGAAAAATGAAAAGAAAAGGTGTGGGATGGGGTAGAGAAAACTGAAAACTAAGGCCATGAAAGGAGAAGGGATTGAACAATCTTCTTTTGTGTACACAGTTCAGGTTTCTGCATCCATGGATGGGAAGAGCTTCGGCGATGCAGAGAATATGAAGAGATAGAGCCTTTGGAAGGTTTCTTTTCACTTTATAGATAACTTTGAATGAGGAGGTTCTTGAGATAGCGTGATTCGTGTTCACGATGTGTTCAACTATGGCGCTCCTTACCGCTGCATTGTTACCCCCCTTTGTAAGCATGCGGGATAGTGTTCTTGAACCCTTTTTGACAACAGTTGCATCGAACGACCTATATACCTGGCTCCACAACACCAGGTGAATTGGTGTCTGCACAAATCTTTAAACTAGAAAAATGTATAAATTTTCAGTTGTACAGTTTTGAAAACGAAACCGCCGAAAAGTGACTCTTCACTGAAATACTTACTTTTTCTACTTTCAGCTCATAAGGGTGACCTTCTGTACCTAGACGTCAATATTAACCTGTCAGATTCATACGCTTGAAAAGGATCTTTCTAGCTAGACGGAAACGCTGAAGAATCATACAAAATATTTGGTTTAATATACTATGCCAGGATTACACAAGTAGAAATACACCTTATACGATGAATCGTGCCAAGTCGGTGCCCAAGTTTTTTCCAAACCATCCAGTCCATTGTTGATCAGGATACGTTGAAACAACCAACCAATATGAAAGAAAGTAGGATTCACTGAATTCATAAATTTCTGTAGTACTCGTCGGCTCGATACCCTACACACTTGGTTATGTTATACCATTAGATAGTGCAAAACACATGCATATATATAGCGTAGACTGAGGCATCGGTTTACGTGTAACAACATAGAAATGAACGATCTTTATAGGTTAAGTGGTAATGCAAATAGTAAAAGTTGATTTTCCAATAGAATGGGTTTAAGACATTACATAACTGTGAGTTTGGATAGTGATGCAGTCTAAAGAATCATGTGGATTTCAGGTAAGAAAATCTTGACACGAGTGAGAACAGAATTGGTTGATGGGAGATTATGTCATCCATAACAAGATAGTTAACAGTTACCTAAGATGACTTTGTAAGAAAACCAGGTGCGTATTGAGATGAATAATAATGCTAACAATGGTAATTCGGCAAAACAAATCAGGAAAAGAAAATCAAAATAGGGATGATAATTGATGCCCAGGAGAAAGCAAGAAAGAATAAACATGATTAGATGACGTTTTAATTCTTACCATGGTAGATTCAAGCTGACTACCAGTTCCTTCTGAATGCAAAGGAATTGTTTAACAACTGGAATCACATAAGCTTCTGCAGTTTCAAACAACTGCTTATTCTGCTGTCTATTGATAATCGTAAAGAAATTACAGATATTAATATCTTGTCTATAGTCCACTGGATGTTTTGTTATCGAACCCCTCGGGTGCTACGACTGGTAGTGTGACCTAACAGTATACGAGCGATATGAACCTAACGTGCAAACGAATCGACTCTCAATGCTAATCAAAACGTCAACTACTAAAACAACAATACTCCCGACATGCGAAGACAAGATGGACCGTTGTCAGAGAGCTTCTACTGTTTCAATAACAGTCAAAAACAGTTGGAAGCGATGCTGAATATATAGGCAAATATCAGACAAAATTAAGGGTATATAGCACCTTTCGCTCAACAAAAATACGGACAACAACGACAACAAAATTTAGTACCTCTGTCTCATCGGGTCGAGATCTTTTGCAACTGGATCTTCGTCTGGGTAAAACTCATTTTTGACCTTCGGGTTCCCTCGCATTGATTCTACATCGACTGGAGGTAGTTTAAAAGTTTCAACTAGCATTTCCTTGGGTTTCTCGGTAAATGAGAACGTGACGTGGCGACATCGTATCATCCATCTTTCCTGCCCCACCTTGACCTCGTACAATAAGGTTCCATTTTTACCTTCTATAAGACATTGCCCATTTTTCTTTGATTGGTCGATAATCACTAGCGTAGACGGCATCCTCCTTGTGGGAATATCCCACAGTATTTTTCCGTTGAACTGGTGATGATGGCAACATGGAATGATATTGGGTACGTAGCATGCGTCCCATTAAAAGCTTTTTCTCTGTTCTGCCATTGACGCTGTGACGTATACAAAGAGGAATTCGCTGTATGATTTTCGATGTAAACCTCCTCCCTACCTTAAATGTAGCTCTTCTGAAGGTGTCCACAAATCTCTTTGCCTGGCCGTTGGATTGAGGGTGGTACGATGGCATCCGCACGTGTTGTATACCATTTCTTTGACAGAAATCTTGAAATACTTATGATATGAATTGACTGGCGTTGTCAGATAAAATGTATTCTGGAATTCCATGGAACATGAAACAACAACACCACCGAATAGCGGAGACAAGACAAACCGTTGACAGAGAACTTTTACTGTTTGAACAACAGTTAAAAACAGTTGAGAGCGTTGCGTTACATTTCCAAGCGACCTTGACAACACTAAATTCACTGATATGTTGAAAGAGTTAACAACGAATGAGAGTTCAGCCTTAAAAAGCAGTGGATAAACACAAAAGCTAAGAGCAATGCAAAACAGCAATGATAAAGTTATTTTAAGGTTATAGGCAATATTAGAGGTATATAGCATCGGGGTCTTCTTTTCAACACGTTCCAGTCAACCATTCGGATAAAAAGACATCTTTTCATACGACAAACGTATTTGTTTCCGCAGACACATTTTGATTGATATCTGCAATTAAATATGTCGAAGGTTGGAACCCTGTCTTTCCCTGACTGTTTCAGTACCTGTTTACTGGTGCTGAGAAGTACCAGCATTGCTTAGTGATATGTAAATTTGTATCGAGAAATAAATGTTTTCAACACAGTTAATTCACGTTGTTGCTTGTATTATCCCGTTGTTTGATTGAAGCGGGTCGATCGGTCACTATTGGCATATGGGCTCCTGTGGGGATGCATCGATATTGCCTGTCGTTTCAGTTTTACAGTAATGGTGGATAGTGGCCAACAGGGAAATCCAGGGCATGGTTTTCATCTTATTCAGGACTCCTCAGCTGGACGTACCTATCTCCTAGTGAGTGATGTTGTCCCCATTAAAACTCGAACCAGGGGCCGATCGCGTCAAACGCTAGGCCACTGAGTCACTTGTGTGACAGATATAGTTTTACTATTGTTCCTTGTATTATAACATCACCCACTAGGAGGCAGGTACATCAAAGTTAGAAGGATACATACATCCTGGATCCGACTGCTAACCGCTTTCCATCATTACAATTAATTCACATCTACTATTCTGTTTGTTGTTTTCTTCCAGTGTCTATTATTATTATTATTATTATTATTATTATTATTATTATTATTATTATTATTATTGCTGTTATCATCATTATCATTATTATTTCAGATTGAACCGGAACCAGATTTATTGGAATTTTTCGATCCAAATCGTCATGTATACCAGTCAGTCAATTTACAGACCAAAGGATTACCGAATTTATTGCCCAGTTTACACTGTGCTCCTATGGATTCTCTAAATTCTCTCTATGACAAGATTACTTGTGATTTCTCGTGTATTCATAATGTCTAAAATGATGAAGGGGGAGGTAGTGGATTTAACACTGAAAATTTCTTTGTTTTTGTTTTCCTACATTAGTTGCTTATATATGTAGAGGAAGATACCTTTCTCATTTGTATTCAATGCGAATGAATTGATTGTTTCAGTGTGAGACATTTCTCTCTTATTCATTAGTTGTGATTATTCCAAAGTGTGTGTTGGTGTACATTTCTTTGAGTCAACTGACGTCTTGTATCTGCATCATTACGACTGTTTAGTGTGAAAGATCCATGATATAGATTTTGATGTCAGATGCACAGTTATATACTGCCACAAAGATAACGTTTTTACTGTGATTTGAAATTGAAGGGTGGAGAAATCTATCAAATACAGTATAGTAGGGCAGAATGGAATATTTTTGGCGGATACTCTTAGCTCATAGTAAGAATGCTTAGCAAAGAACTCATATAAAGTGGTCTAGATTCCTAATTTTGACTAATATGAATGTATGGTGCAAATTGTTCGTTAATGAACACTTCTCATTGCCAGACAAATAAAATCAGCGTAAAACCTAGCAAGTTGCCACGTTTCAGGGTAGCGCATGCAAAGAACAAGTGGATAGAAAAAGACTGATATCAAAGTAAACAGGGTGTGTGAGGCAATAGACAATTTGAAGATAAAGGTTAGTGCAAATATTCAGGCTTTAGAAGACGTCAAGGAGTGACCTTTTCCTGTCATCTCGGGGACCCCACACAGACAGTCTACATCTCCCCACGCGACTTAGACCAACAGTTAGGGACTTAATCAACGGATGCTACGTTTTGGTCTGACCACCGTCAACCCTATTCCAATCTAATCCACCTTCCCCTAGCATGGCATGTTGAGGTAGGCAGTGGCACGGCATGCCCAGTATATGTCCAAGCCAGCCATCTCAGTTGATTAAGGTTCACAACGTCATCAATCAACTTGCCTAGTACGCTTCCCCTGACCTCAACATCGCTCACACGATGATTCTGTCACACCTAAAAAATGTTACGAAGATACCTACTATGAAAACCCAGTAACTGCTTTATATCTTCTACTTTTACCGACCATATCTCACAGAACGGACTCCAATGCAGAATACTCGTCGTTTGACAGATAGTCGGATGTTTCACTATTTGACGCTACAGATGACGCAAGCTGATAAATGCCGAACTGACTTTCTATATCTGAGCTGAGATTTCGTCAGCAACATGCCTATTTGGGCTAATATTATCAGACTGGGAGTAGTTAAAGACCAGTCCTGAAGCATCATCTTACATTTGACAGCTATCAGCGAAAGGCATAGCAAATATACTTAGATTTCTGCTTAACACTTCCAGAAGACTCTGCGTCTTGTCACCATCTTCACTCAGCAGAACAATATCGTCTTCATACTCCAAATCACTCTAGTTACCGCATTTCCCTATCATTTATTTTGTAAGATAAGTGTAAAGTTTATTGTTTGATAGGGCTGTATCTAGATTACAGGTAGGATTTTAGCAGATATAAGCCTGTAGAAGAAGAAGGAACACACAAATATTGAAGAGTGAAATGATTTAGTTGGTAAACACACAGACTATTGCACTTGTAATAATTTTGCAGTCATGAACGAATAAGTAAGTGTTTATGTGGTACTAGTGGATAAAAATAACGCTTTACATACTTTGGTAAACATTAAGCAGCTGATAGTGAGGGACGTTCATTTCACAATGGACTGACTATTTATTTCCTATGATGATTAGGTCATATTTCACTTTGTTTATGGTCACACCTTTTGCATATGTGATAGTTCATTTCATTAAACTGCATTTAGATCAATCAACTGAGAAAATATCTATCTAGTATCCGTTTTGAGTATCAATTTGATAAGGAATGAACTTGGTACTTTTGTGTAAAATTCCCAAAACTCTGTATGATTAAGATTTATGGAAGGGATTTCAGACAAAGATGAAGAATTATTTTCAAATTATTCAGTCTTTAGGTCTACCAACTCTATGTAAGTATTAAGTCACCAAACAATCTGAATGATGACTTAGCTACCGCCAGACTTGCTTTTCCGGGTGAAGTCATGGGTGCGCACTGCTGAAGAGTTTCACAATAGGACGAAACAGCCGTCCAGTGATTTCTGGTTTACCAACTGATATCTATCTGTGATGAATACTACTTTGAAATCAACCGATTCTCATAAATCTCTAAATTGAATCTGATGATCGTTTGATGTTCTCCGAACTTCAGGGTGTGGTCAGGCATGTTTCATCAACTGGCTAGACAACTTCATCAGCACTTCTTAAAGAAAATGATTAACGTTGAAACCTATTTCGCATTCTGTTTCAAATGAAAGCGTTCACAGCACACTACTATGGCGAGGAGAATCCTGAAGCAGAGTTCGAAATGAAGACTTAAGTTTGTCATTAGTAAAATGTATTAAACAGCCATGCTGATCACACGCTGCTATACAAACCTCATAACCATATTGATGGTGACATCACATCCCATTGCGTTTGTTAGTCCACATGTGCGTTTGTGCCAGAACAAGTGCCTAAATGGCTACAGAAGCAGTTGGATTCACAAACATCAATGAATGCAGCTGGCAGACAATCATCTTTATCCACTGCAAAACCAATATTGATGGAGGGCACAGAATTGATACTAAAAAGGAACTGCTTAGATTTATCGAAGCTCAAGCCTCCTTGTATGTTTGAAGATGATCTGTCCCTATGTTGAACCTACCCTGAGTCCGTGTCTTAGTGGAGATAACATCACTTACTGAAGAGCAGGCACATCCAGCTGACGAGTCCCCAATGGGACAAAACCCATTTCATGGATTCCACTATCCATCATCACCATGTACTGTGGTAATGTTTATCCTATTATATTACCAAGGTTGGTTTCAAAGTCTCTTAACCATCTTCTTCATTACCTCTATTATTCATACATTCCTCATTGTCTTATTTGACCTCTTTCTACAACTATCAGATAAAATGCCTTAACAAGTTATTGTTTGATCAAATTGCTCGAAATGTATGATACCATTCAAAGTGAATCCTCCAATGAGGAACAAATAAGCGATCAGCTAGGATACGTGATTCCAATCTTTCGTTTCATTGTATATCCTTCGAGTTAATCTCTTCGAAATGTTATCAGTGATTCAATTGTTCTGTGAAAGTTTGCTAGCTGTTCTTCATTCATATCAGCTTGTTGTCTCCTCAGCAGACTGTAGATGTGATATTTGTCTTGTTAATAGGAATTTGATTCCTATATTTAGTTCTCTTGAAAGATTTAAATAAAGCAAGAACAAAGATATTTGCAGAATAAAACATGAGCTCATTTTATTTCACAGCCTTTCATCAGCTGCAAACACCCTACAGTTGAAATGAAATATTTGTTATAATAGTAATAATAACATACTTTAAATATGTGTAGAAGTGAATAAAGATCCGAAACTAACAAAAAAGTAGTGAGTCAAGAAAATACAGAATTAATCGTCACAAATCTTAGTCGGAATCAGTGAAAATTGATATCTAATGAAATAGAAAATTCTGGAACCGTAGGAAGTGGACGGAGAGGAGAGCAAACAGATAGAATAGAAAAGAAGGGGGTTGTTAAAGGGCTAACAAGTTGCATAATTATACGAGAAAACTGGGAGGTTGTTTGACTGACTGATGAACACTAAGTTAGTAATTAATAAAGTGCTCATTGGTGACTAGCTCCGGGAGGTGATTCCTGAAGTCCCAATGAGAAGTCATGACGGATGGGGTAAACTTGGTGACCGTGAGGAAACGTACTCAGCGATGAGATCGGGTGATGGTGGTGCTGTCATGAAGTGACAAAAGTTGGAAATATGGACCATTAGTTCCAACCCAGCGGCTCAATGGTAACTTTCTGGCCACGGAGGTTTTGGGTTCGACCCTGATGGGGTGGGTTGATGGTGCGGACAACTGTCCAGTGCCCTCGGGTTTCCAATATTCCTCCAACTGATGTCAGTCCATGATGAATACCAGCTTGAAAGAAAAAAATCAAAATCCCCGAGATTAAATAAATACAGAGATAGTGCAATCAAAAAGGAAAGTTATATACCTACAATTACCAGGGTAATTACAGTCTCTTTCTAAGTACAAAGATCAAGTTGGAAAGGTTTGATGGTGAAAGCCTCACAAACCATTAATAAACATGGCGTTCTTTGTTTTTGATTATCCTGAAGGAATGAGAAACATCTATTTGATGTCGTGTTTTCATCAGATGCCTGATGATTATAAGGGTAAAGACTTTGCCACCTCTCACACACAGATTTCTCAGAATATGCTCATAAAACCGAGTAAACGTGCCCTTCTTTTGGTCCTTCCTATGTACTTGCTTCTACAAGCACAAGTGAATTGATATACATAGTTGGAGGTGACGTGAGCTGGGTATTTGTCTACTTTCGACTCTGTTGTTAGTAGACCGTATTGTCAGCTGAGATCAGTCTGGGAACAAGGAACCTCCTTCTCAGTACAGCATTTACTCTTTTGTCTATTTTTTCAGATATCTCATCACTCTGGAATGCTAGATGACGGAAATAGAGTTCATCTCACCAGTTGAGTGCATGGGTCTGCATGCACCATAATTAATTTCTTCAGATATTTGTTCTCTATAAATTCCTCTCAATGATAGCGTTCTTATCCTACTGAGGAGTGTCTTGACTAGACCACACTTGTAGCTGACAGGATAAAAATTATTGTGGCGAAGATAATTTGATAAGCTAACTTCATGATAATCTAATGGAAGTCTATTGTCAAAGCTTGTCAGTGTCTAGCTATTTCCTATGGTAGGAAGTAGAATAGTGAAATGTGAAGTTCACAAGTCCCTTTAAACTGTCAACATGTATTTCAGTAATGGCTGCTGGAGGAGCCAAGGACTTTCTGTGTATTGGACACTATGAACCAGCGATCGATATATCTGTCGGATAAAGTCTACTTATCGCCTACTGAAGCATTTACTGTCTACTACTCGTTAGTCACATTCTTCCAGATGGATTCTCGAAGTTCAAATGAGCAGCCTTGACTGATGGGATCAACCAAGTCGGACATGAGGATAAATACTCACTGATGGCATTGAATGATGGTTGTGCCATATGGTGAACTGACAGAAGTACAAAAAATGTGGACTATTAAATTTCGAGCCAGTTTCTGAATGGTGGTTCGAACTATGGCGTGGTCGTGATTATGCACTGCTGGAAATCCCCACACTAGGATGGAATAAGTGTCCAGTGCTACCTATTTTCCGATGGTTCTCCAACATTTATCTTAATCTACAATGAATACTACGTTGAAGTTAATCAGCTACTGAATTTACGCCGTCATTTATCAAAGAGAAAAGCATGATTAGTAAAATGTTAGGTCAC